AGGTGTGGGAGCAATGACCTGGTCTCCACTCGCCTGTGGATTAATCACAGGGAAATACAGCGACGGAGTACCAGAGTGCTCCAGAGCGGCGATGAAGGTCAGAGCGACGTGTGAGCGCTGATCGCTGAACGATTGTAGTAGCTCTGACGTAAGACGTTCCCTGATAATGTTTCTGGTTTATTTTCTCTTCATTCTAAAGGGATACCAGTGGCTGAAGGAGCGGGTGAACAGTGAGGAAGGACGCAGACAGCTGGCCAAAATCAAGGAGCTCCATCTACTGGCAGACAGACTGGGCTGCACCGCTGCACAGTTAGCCATAGGTACGACCAAAGCTAACGACACGTGGGCCGTGACTGTGATCCTGCTACAGTCACAAAAAATTACAACAATGTTTACTGAGACCAGTCTTCTACAGTTTGGGAGTTCTTCTTTACAATACACAAAGAATACACAGGTGTACACAGGTCCTGAAGTACCAAACGTACCTAAACTGCGTACTTTCTTACTGGCTTTTTGTCCTGTATTTCTACAGCCTGGTGTCTGCGCAGCGAGGGAGTCAGCTCAGTACTTCTGGGAGTTTCTAACACGGAGCAGCTCCTTGAGAACCTGGGCGCCCTCCGGGTGAGAACGTCTTTCCAGCACACCTCTCTACGCTGATGATCATTCTAGAAGCTCTAGAAGTGTAAACAAAAGCTCAAAACAAGCTAAAGCTAGAAGCTCTAGAAGTGTAAACAAAAGTTGGCTCAAAACAACCTAAAATCTCCGTCAACCGCTACCAATCAGATAGATACCTTCATTTCTCCTAGCTAAAGCTCCGAGCATTGCATGGAATTTGAATGGATTAGTAAATCATTTGAAGTTAAAAAAAAAAAAATCTGAATCACATTTGGTTAATCCGACCGCTGTCCCCGTCTTCTCCGTCTCCAGATTTTATCCCAAATGACCCCACAGACCATCACGGAGATCGACGCCCTGCTGGGAAACAAGCCACACTCCAAGAAAGAGTCCCGCGCTTGACGACGCGAATCGGAGAGACAGACGATGTTTTCGGAGAGAACGCAGGAGACAACGACATAAAGAGAAACGTCACTTTTCACTCTGCTCTATACTCAACAACTTGCATGTTCTCGGCCACATTATGCTTCCGGTATGCGCGCATAACCATGTCGCGCCGTACATTGTATCATGTATTTAAAAAAAAAAAAAAAAAGGAAAAAAGGAAAGAAAACAATTTAATCCTGGACATAACAATATTAGGTCATAAATTGCTCTCTGCTGGTCGTCCATGGCTGTTAATTTTTTTTTTTTTTTTACAGAGGGGGAGGCTAAAACTGCATGTAGCGACAGGTCTCTTTTGTTCAGGGGAAGATCTAATTTTGGGACAAACAACAAAATGAACCTTTACAGAATGACGGGTGCTGAGCCCCCTCCCCTCGCGGCTTCATGTTAGTCCTGTTATAATGTCTAGTAGCTAGCAGTCAGAGAGTCGAAGGTTAGCTCTCCCGTGTCCATCCTGACATTTACCTTGTGTGCATGCGACTGATCGGCCGCGCTCACTGCTTTACAGGGTTGGGAACGATGAAGGAGTCGCACGGTTTTACACGGTGATCGGACGGATATAACTGAGGACCTCCAGACAGACTCCTGATCATATGCTTTAAAAAAAAACTGGCCAATTAGCTTCTGGCATTAAGTCACCGACGACTTTTACACGTGAGGATTTTGGCACAAAAATGACTTGATACGATTTGCTACAAGGACTTTTAAGGGTGAAGTATGGAAGTATGCAATACTGAGTTTTTTCCTTTTCTTTCTTTTCATATTTATCTGTTTGCCATGTTGTTCCACTCTCTGGTCTGCAGGTGGTGCTAGGAAGGTATTCAAAAGACCTATTCTATTGCTCCGAGTCACTTCTAACCACTGTGCGCTACGATGTTCAATCTATTTGTCGATTCAAAACTCTACCATCTCCATCCTTCAGTCTTTACGTTCGGCAGAACTTGTTTGACCTGGAGATTTAAAACTCTCTCTGCATCAAAACAAGGCTCGGCTACGCTAACCCTGCTAACACCCTTCACCTTACCTCTTCTACTATGGCCTTTACCAGCTGCTCTGCATCCTATAAGTTGCATTACTGCCACCTACTGGCAAATATTTCCATCCAAAAACATGATAATTTGCAAAAGAAAAGACGAAAACAGAGTGACAGGAAGCCTGAAGAAGACAATGTCTCCAAAAACATGATAATTTGCAAAAGAAGACAATGTTGTACACTTCCTGTGACACACGAGGAACGGCTTTACATAGTTTTATGTTTCTTTGTTTTTTCAGGGAACCTTGCATACCCTACCTTTAAATAAAGCGTATGTGAGCGCGAGGCGTTTGAAAGCAAACCTTTCCCAACCCTGCTTGGTTTCTCTGCAGTCTTTACGCCTCCTCTGTTTGTAAACTGTGCGCATGTCCCTTTAAGACAGAACAGCCCTTCACGGGCCATACCTAAATGTGGCATGGCTTTCTATGGCTTATGTAGATTTGCAGCGCCCCCTGTTGGCCATTTTCTACTACTACATACAGTATGTCCGGCACTTGGATGCAGGTCAGCACTTTTTCTTTTTTGCGTCTAAGAATCTGCGGTCGGCAGGCAAACATCCCGTATCTGAAGATGTTTCAGCCGTCACGTCCCAGAGAAGAGCATCATCACCGTCTCTGAATCAAAGACACTTGGACTGTACACTCGAAGGGTCACAGAGAACGTTGGGACACACTGTGGTGGACTTTTACCAAATGATGGGACACAGATGAGAGGTCCGAGTTTAGCAAACTCCTACCATAGCTCACTTAGAAAAATGTATCCTTTTTCTTTTATCTAAAAATATAGCTTCACTGTTTATTCTCTTCCTCTTTTCTGTACAGTTTTTTTTTCCATCCATGCACAACTCATTTTATACTGTTCATCCCACGTCTTATCCCTTTAGTTTTGTACAAAAGTCCATACTTTGTAAATGTAAGAAGTAGAAGAGGGATTTGATCCCCGTGCGATCTCTGCGTTCAAACAGCACTAACCTCCGGAGCAGGGTGTGTTTTTGATACGATGACAGAAGGTTGAACTGGACTGTAAACAGACTTTTCTTTCAGGCTGCAAGATGAGATATTTATGGGAGAACTGGGAAAATTCCTAATGGGAGCAGAGGAGACGCTGCGTCGCCGCGGAGACTGTAACGGTGTACATTTGGACCGAGTGTAGCCTCCAGTGTACTCGGCGACGGTACTTCAACAATCAAACCCTGAAAATGTAACTTTGCCTGCATCACTACAATTTAAACTGTCTTGCAAACCAAGAGGAAACCAAAAAGAGAGAAGAGACGAGTCAAACTGAATGTATCATGTCTGTTGCTCTCACACACACACACACACACTAGCGTACCATCCATCATCATAACAGAGCACACACACACACACACACATACTAGTGTACCATCCATCATCATAACAGAATTTTTTGCCACAACTAGCCAATGCTAACCACAACAGCAACATCTGTGGGTCAAATCTGACAAAAACATCCCGAGCTACAGCGTTCTCTTCAATCTGTCGTCTATCTCCGGCTGTTTTAGTCACGTTTGGACTAGCAAACAACAATTTATCAGTGGAAATTTATATATATACATATATATTTTTTTATAGATATACATATATACACACATATATGTATACATATATACATATATATACATATATACACATATATACAAATATACATATATACATATATACATACATACATATACACATATATACATATATACTGTATACACATATATACATATACACACATATATACACATATACATATATATACATATATACATATATATATATATATAATATATGATCTAAGTGGAATATTCCAAATAACTGATTTGCAGGCTGGACAAAATGGACGAGAAAGAAAAAAAAACAAAAAGAGAACCAAAGAGACGGCAGCACAGACTACAGCCGCTCCAGTCACCTTCACACCCTCCTAAACACCCAGCACTGCCTCTTCACCTGTGGCCCCCGGGGACCGTTCAGACGGGCGGCAGCAGAACTGCAGCATCCGCCACGGTCGAGCGTGGCTGCAAAGCCTGCTGGGAAATGTTTCTTTGCACAAAGTGAAAACATCTGCGACGCCAACGCTGCTAATCTCTTTGCTAATGGACTCCCTAATGTGATGAGAGTGAGAGGTGGGACGTGTGTGTGTGTGTGTGTGTGTGTTACTGGTGCAGCTATACTTATGGGGCCTTCAAAAAAAACACTGTTACTGTGAGGACATTTGTCCACCTGTCCATGTTGGGACATATCTGCCTGAGGGAGAGGAGGATTAGATGATGGTCAGATTAGAGATGGGCAGCCTTCAAGATTAGGCATATGTGTGTGTGAGAGAGAGAGAGAGAGGGAGGGAGAGAGAGCGAGGCAGACAGTCATCATCTGTTCAACAGGATTGTACTGTAGGTGCTAAAAAAAAAAGCTGTTTGTTGGATGAACGTTGTCGCACCACCAACACGGTCGGAGGAAAAACAGGTTTGAGCCTCTGTGAGTCACGGCTGCTACAAACAAGCAGGATGGACGGAGAGGGAGACGGAGAAGGAGAAGGAGAAGGAGAAGAAGAAGATGCAGAAGAAGAAGAAGAAGAAGAAGATACAGAAGAAGAAGAAGAAGAAGAGGAAGAAGAGGAAGAGGAAGAGGAAGAAGAAGAAAAGGAAGAGGAAGAGGAAGAGGAAGAAGAAGAAGAAGAAGAAAAAGAAGAAGAAGAAGAAGAAGATATAGAAGATGTAGAAGAAGAAGAAGAAGAAGCTGCGGAACGTTGGCTGATTACGAGGGCCTCGCTTCTGATGAAGTGTACTTCAGATCCAGGTGCTGTGTGTGATGAGCAGCAACGACCAGAAGAAGAAGCTGCGGAACGTTGGCTGACGTTGATGTCACATGCTCAGCTCTCATGTCCGTCTGTGATTTTCTGTCATCAGAACACAACTGGTTCAGAGGCTAAAAACACGCTGGGATCAATGGATTCAATGAACGTCAGGTACGGTATCTACAGTGAGGACAACGACATTCTTATTAGAAGAGTTTCAAACTTTTAAAAATTAAATGTTTCAGAAACAAATAATACAGACACTAAAATTAAAATTAGAGATCACAGTTTGCTAACCGTTTTGCTAAAATTTGCCTTTTTCAGCTACAAGACAACTCTTTTCACCAAGGGTTATTTTGTGCCAGAGGACAATTAGTCGTCGACTTTTAGCTATTTTATAGACTAGCTTAGAAATTTTATATTGTTTTGACCTTTTTACAGTTTCTCGAAGTCAACCCAGTCATCACACGTCAGCCATTTTCTTTATATTAGGCAAAATCTAATCTATGTCTTAACTAAAGGAAGTACATTTATATTATTCCTGATATATTTCTTTAAAGTAACTTGTAGTGATTACGTCGTCTTAACAACACATGCTAACCAACAGGACAGCTGTAAACGTAAATCTCGCTTCACAGACCAGCTCTGAACTGAACGATTTTTTCCATGGACATTATTTGCTGGATTCCCACAAACAGTAAATGTCCTTAAATCATCCCAGCTGTTCGGACATCTGCTGACACACATTTATTTCCCTGAGCGTCGTTTTCTTCACCAAAGTCCTTGAGATGATTAAAAAAAAAAAAAAAACAAGCTACAGATTCGTCTTTGATTTGTCGCAGCTTAGATCCGTCAAAAATATCAACCGTTAATTTTAGAAACTCAAAACTGCATCTAAATCGGGAAAATGTGCATAAAGGAATCAGAAAGTGTTGAAGTGGATTTCAGGTAAAGTTTTATTTTCTACTAAAATACATGTTTCATGCAGATTGTTCGGTCACTTTCCACGACAGTCAACAGCAACACGATGCAACTAACGCCAAATCGCCTTCAACCGTGTTAGGCAGGAAGGACGTCCACGCTGCTCACTACAAGATCTCAGTGTGTGTCTGTGTGTGTGTGTGTCTGTACGCAAACAGTGTATGCTCATCTGGTGTCACATGCTTCCATATGGTAACTAACATCCAGCCAATCACAGCTGCTAACACATGAAGAAGAACCAGTGACAACGGAAAAAAAAAACCCGCTGGTCCAAGGCAACGCTGCTGAAAGTGTAAAAAAAAAACAGGATGAAAATTAAATATTGCTTCAGAAATGAAGGTAAAAAGTAAAAAGAAAACGAGGTAAAAAGAAAACGATCTGATTCTCTCCACAAGACCAACAGCTGCTATTAGAACATTTGATTTTTAAATCAATGGAATGTAGACGCTGGACGTATGTACTTCAACATATTTTTCAGCTCAATTTGTTTTATGCAGTATATATGTAGACGTGGACTATATCTCCCCATCGCTGCGAAGTAGATAAGCTACGGCTGAGACTGTATATTTTGATTAATAAATTACAAAAGCAGAATTGACCATATGATCACAACCTTTTCAGTAATGCCAATGCACAAACTCCTGCCCAGTAGGTGGTGGTCATTCACCTCAGGTCTGTTTACCAGCTGCCAGAAAGATGAACAAGATACACTGAGTGACATCAGTGCACAAAACATTGTTTGGTGATGGAAGACAAGGCCAAGTTGGTCGACTTGTTTGGCGAAAATCAACCAAAATTAAATTAAAAAAAAAAACTTCTGAGTGCAGCTTGGATCAGAAAATGTTCGTGTCCAAACTGTCTTATCACTGCACAGCTAATGTTACCGACAACAGTCCTGGTTCAAGAATCAGAGCTAACTTTAGCATCAACAGTCCTGGTACAGATGCGAGAGCTAATGTTAGCATCAACAGTCCTGGTACAAGCACCAGAGCTAACGTTAGCATCAACAGTCCTAATAACAGCAGTTTGCACTTTATATTCGTGCATTTTATTATATTAAATCTGCCCCCCCCCCACGCCCAAAGAATAATTTAATTAGATAATAATTAGGAACAGGAATCAATGTCATCAATAATGAAATAAGAAGTTGCCTTGTTTATGCCGTTACTAGTGGCGACAGAGCAGTACTACAGGTCAACCTCAGGGGCCTCACGTGGTTAGTGGTTACTGTAAACTCAGAGAGAACTTAAAGGAGGAACGGCTAACAAACGATAAGACGCTGCAGTGAGTGAGTCATCGTGCTACACCGATCGCCTGCGTTCAAAACCACCTCCGTCGCCGCATGCTTATAATCAAGCACTTAAACAAAAACAAACTCCGTTTTCGTCCTTGTACAACTGCTTGCATAATTAAACTATTGAGACTTCAGTTATGTTTTCATGTCCACAGGGAGGCGACAAAACACACGGCTCATGCATTTTTATCTCCAGGATGTAGAACAACAGTAAACACGGACTAATGTTACTGCACGGTATATCGAGCGTCGTCTCGTGGGTTGAATGAGAACTTGGTAGAACGTCGGTGAGAGCACAGACAAACCCCACGCACTTCACTGCAGCTTGTTCTCCTTCTTACTTCCCGTCTGCATGACGTCGTTGAGGGTGAAGGACATGAAGGAGATCTGCTCCAGTTCGCTCTCCTTCCCACACTCCATCAGGCAGGAAAACTGATCCTTGTCTCCGTTGTAGGCCAGGTCTGAGTAGCCGCTTGGTCCGCGGTGAACGATGCGGGGTTTGTCCCACCCTGACGAGTGCAGCGGGGATCGGTTCAAGTACAGGCCCATGTCTCGCCTGCTGGACTTATTGGTCGGATGCATAAAGAGGAGCCAGGTCTGCGTGTCAGGTGACAGGAGCGACGTGCCGCAGGCTTTGCTTTCCGCGTCATCGTTTGGTACAAATTCAGGGGCAGGGAATCCGATGACGCTGCCCTGGCAGCCGCAGCGCTGCTCGACGAGCTCTCTGGCCACGTGGGGTTTGTCGAAGTACACGCCGCTGTTCTCACTCAGGGCCTCGCACCTGTAGCCAGAGTTGCGGGCGTTGCAGTAAAGGTGACTCCTGCCCTCGTGGTCGATGATCTCCGCCATCTCACACTCGCACGACTTCTTCCCAAGCATCTTACCCATGTGCCACGTCTGTCCAAAGTCCTCGCTGTAAATGGACAGCGCTCTTGGCAGGACAGTGAAGGGAATGGGGTAGGAACAGCATCGGTACTTGATGTAATAGGTGTAGGCCGGGATGATCAACCTGCCGTTCTCCAGCTGAACTCCATGTCCGGGGCCCACAGCAAACGTGGCCCACTTGTGGATGGTTTCTCCGATCACACTCTCGGTTAAGTCTGTGGCGGGACTCCAGGTGTGTCCGTCGTCGCTGCTGCTCACACAGCAGAGGCGTGTCCTGTTCTTACCTGTAATGCACTGCTTCCTCTCCGTGGTGTTTCCCCGGACGCAGATGAAGAACAGGAACAACGTCCGGCTGTTCTTCTCGAACACGGGGCAGGGGCTCATGGTGCGGTAGTTCGGGAAAGAGGCTGTGGTCATCTCCTCACTGGAAGCCCACTGGGTGAGAGACAGAGGGAAATGGACAACGGTTCAAATGAGGTTCAATGATTTAATCGTGATTAACACACCTGCTGTCATTAAAAGAGATATAAAGAAAAAACAATTCTACCTCTTGTATTGTTTTGGTTGAATAACTCACTATAAAGAAAAAACAATTCTACCTCTTGCATTGTTTTGGTTGAATAACTCACTAATATGTAACAGATTAACAACAGTCATCATTGGATTTGTTGTTTTGTTTTTGTACTGCCATTTTTTTCTCATTTGCAACATTTATACTTTTCACATTCTTTGTATACTTTTTTACTTTCCATAAAACAACATAAATGGTGACTTAAAACAGGAAGTGATTCAATTCCCTATTTCACTCAGTTTCAGGTGGCTGTCTGTTTCTGTATACAAACCGGCTCAAACCGGTCTGTTGCTGAGTCTTTGTGATAACAGTGATGTTGCTGTGGTGACAGGTTCAATTCTCTAACAGTAATAATAGAACACTTCTGTTCTCCCTCATTTTTCATACATATATATATATAAATGGAATAACAGTAGTATTTTTCAGTTGAGTTTTGAAGTAATATCAACAGAAATGTCGACAGTGTAGACTCCAGTGTCCAGTTTAGTGACCAGTGTTTTATGGTGATGAATTTAAGAGTTGAAAAACAAAAGCCTGGAGGACCAACCTGCACAGTTCCGTCTTCCTTCAGTGTCCCCCTCCTCATTACAAGTATTTTCGCATCGCAATCACTGGGTGAGGTCCTTTTCTCTGCGAAAGCCAGGAATGTGTGACAGTGCCTGAGATAAACAAGGGCAGGAATCCTGTATGTGATTCCATTCCTCTCCCTCTCAAACAAAGTAGTTTTCACCAATTCCTCGGCATTGCCGGTCTTGGACGGTGAATTCCCCATATTGAAGCCGGATTCCTGTGAGGAGGAAACAATCCCAAATGTTTGACTTTGCATATTTTTGTCGTTTTATCGTGGAGAATCGAACAACACGGACACATGGACAAACATTTCCCCGGTGTAGCTCCTACTGGTTTCCATGTATTTACATATGTACAGAGCCAAAGAGCATCCAAACATCTGTGCTGTTCGCGCGTATTCACGGCTCTTACCTTTACTGGTCACTCTTCAAACTGGACTCCTTTGTTATTTCCTTAAACATTATTTTCACAGCGTCTAATTTCACGCCATTTCAAACCAGAAAATTGCTAACGTTCACGACACAGAAACGACCAGCTAGTCTGTTGAGAAAGCAGTGCTGGAGTCAGAGTGAGGCCTATCTGCATTTCCGGGTTCGCTTGAACCGAGCGCGACCGTGTTTTGAAAACAGAAAAACGTACCTATCGCGTATTTTTAATTATTTAAAAAGTATATGTTTACATTTTTATGATAAATTGAATCAGAAAAATCAATCAGACCCTGTTCCTTTTTTAGTCGCCTTTAATACCTGCTCTTCTTGCTGCAAATTACAATCTTGTCATGGCATCCTATCTTTGAGTAGTGTAGCGCTGTTGGTCAGTAGTCTATACCGCCCTCTGTTGGACCGGAGGATTACTATCGTGTTGGAGTGCTGTTGCTATGATACTCAGCACCACAGTGGAGCCGCAGCATGTAGTGGTGCAGCTCCAGGACCTAAATGGTGAAAAAAAAATTGCGTGGAAAACTTTGTTGTTGTTTTTACTCATGTCATAGGTCAATTGTACACCAGGGGACACAATGGCAGCTGGGCACTGTAGGTTGGATGATGGACAGCAGAGCAGCGCCACCAACTGTTTCCCTGCCAGGACTTTATTGGGCCGTAGGAAGGACGGTAGGTTTAATGAGTTTGAAAGTTTCAAAGTGAGCACACATTAACGCCACCTTTGAATGTATAAAATAAAAAATAAAAAAAGATATGTTTTTACAGTGTGTTGTAAACGGTAGTAAATTAAATATTTTTTATTTTTTTCAGTATTTATTATTAATAAAGATGACGTAAACAGACTTGCAATTTTAGTTTCATGGCTACAAATATTTACTTTATTTGTTTTTTATCTATTTATTTATTTGCATTTTTTCCTGAAAGCTTTTTATTACTGTATTTTATCATATTTTAATTCCATCTGTCATTTTGAGGAGGTGGACACTGGCTGGTGTCCTATAGAAAGGCAGAGGAGCAGAGACACATTCGTCTCCTCAGGAGGACAAAGCGGAGTGGGCGGGGCAAACAGGCTGATGCTGCTCCTCACAGTAGAACCTTAGACCGAGCTCTGCTGGTAGGACCCTGAAATCTAAATGAAAATGATGGTCTTTGTGTTTGTTTGTTTGTTTGTTTGTTTTTGAAACACAAACGCTTCTTTTTCCCGTCTGCAGCTGCGGTTGCACTGCGTGGATGAACCGTCAGAGCTGAGCTCCGTCAACGTCAGCGAACAGCAGCTGAATTCTGTGAGAGTTCTCTGTAACACTAGAGCCCCCAGTGGTGCACGTACCATAGTTTGAGAACCGTCGCGTTAGCTAAAAGTGACTGATGAGTGTGTCTTCTCACAGGTCAAACCCGAGGAGCTGCAGGCGTTTGATAACGTGGTCTGCCTGGACGCCTCCGTGAACTTCCTGTCTTTAGGTCGTTACTGTCAGACTTCATCCAGAACCTTGAAAAGAAACAACAACAACAACAACAACAACAACAACAACACACAGTTGTGCCACTAATGTGTGTTTTCTACAGGTTCCCTCAACAGTTTCGTGTCGTTGAGAGACGTGAACCTGTCTGTGAACAGGATCCGCACCATGACATTCGATCCCACCGACTTCCCTCGTCTACAGGTGAGGAGTCTGGGTAACGAAGTCCGTCTTCGCTCACACGTTTGTACTGGAATGAAATAAAACCCTGGTTTCGTCTCTCAGGTTCTGGATTTGTCCTACAACAGTTTGACCACCGATGACATCACCTCCGTCAGTCGGCTGCCTCGTCTGAAAGTCCTCCACCTGACAGGAAACCGACTCCGTCGACTTCCTCCTGACCTGACCTGCAGTGGTGACGCCACACAGCTGTGAGTTAAAGAACTGCACTCAGAGACAGAATAGACCAGAATGGCAGTTCCTCCTCAATGCTTCACTCTGTTACTGTGACAAACTTGTCCAGTAGGGGGTGCTTACCAGCGTTTCTGCTGGAGTAACATGTAAAACACTTGTGTGTGTGTGTGTCTATCAGGTCTGTTAAAGGAGGATTCCCACCATTCGGATGTCTTGAAGTTCTGATGCTGGACGATAACAAACTGTCGTCAGGCGTCTTCCACCGTCTCAGGAACCTCAGGAGGTCAGCAGTGAATTTGACTGTTTTTCTTCTGCAGGAGAACAGAGCTGTACACAGAGATGTCACACTTTTTGGGTTACTTTCTGGTGAATAAAAACAACATTTTTTAAAAATAATTATTGCATTTTTTTATCTAATTAATCACAGAGCAGCTGTACTGATCATAATTAAGTTTGATAAAAGCTGATCGTGATTAATCGATTACCTGAGATGAATCAACCTAAATGCATTTTCTGTGTCGATGGAACAGAAATTCAAATATCAGCGGGTAGAGGGCAGTGTTTCTCACCTGTTTTTATTTGTGACCAAATGATGGCTATATTAATATATATATACAAAAGTATAATAAATGATGGCTATATTAATATATATATATACAAAAGTATAACTATTTAGTCATTTCTGTTCATCTTCATGGTGAATTTGATGATTTGTTTACGCTACAACAACATCTCCAGACTGTTTTGTTCCGACCCTGTCACTGTTACAGACTGAAACATTTAAACCTACGGAGGAACCACATTCATGAAGTTCCATATTTACGACCACCTGAGATTCCAAATCTGACTGAAGTCCGAGCAGAGGAGGAGAAAACTGGTGAAGAAAGAAAGAAGAAAAATACACCTGCAGCATATTTACATTGACATTTAAATTCTCTCTCTCTCTCTCTCTCTCTCTCTCTTTCATCGCAGCTCTCTGTGAGTCTGCTGATGTCGGCGATGATCATTTTATAAAACGTGTCTTTGGTTGGTCACGTTGGATTAAACATCAAGAAACGCTGAGAGACGACGACACGGAGTCAAGTTTTCCTCTTCCAGAACTCCAGTTTCTGGATTTATCTGAAAACAGAGTCAGTACAAATTTGGTTTACACGATTTTTGCAAAAAGAAAAAGAAAAAGGTACCAGATGTTGTTAGAAATTGTCAGCAATTTGTAAAGTCAACCTGGGGTCAAAGGCCAAAAACAGTTGGCAACCACTGATTTGCGGTATCTCAATTAATCATGATTAATCACGATGACTTACGGTTGTGATTAATCGTGATTAATCAAATTAAAAAGTAGACGCTCGTTAGCCTCCGGGTGTTTTCTCACCAGATTGCAGAAGAAGAAGCTCTGCTGGCCGCGGCCCTTTTTCCCAGACTTTGTGAACTCGATATTCACTCCAACCCTCTGACCACACGGAGGAGCGGTGAGCTAACGTGATTTCTCTGTAAAAAAAAAATCTGTATTTCTGAAAACACTGGTTGGTCTTTAATGCTGGAATGTTTGGGTT